TTTAAAAACGCACTTGAAGATGTAGATTCTCAGGAGGCAACAGTACTGTTGACTTCTCCCTCCACTGGACACCAACTAACTATTTAAGTTGATTTGCATACAAAGCAGATTTTGCAACATGATAGCTATTTATAAAGGGTGTTTGTTTTTTACTTTTCATATAATACAGTAGTCACACAATGAGGCAGTTCATATTTGTCTCAGTGAATCATTAATTTTTGACAGACACCTGTACAAAATACTTGGACAAAAGCCAGCTAAGATTTTCTGTTATCTTGCATGTTCTATGAATCTATTCACGTCTAAATGCAGCACTTTTTTTTTGTGATGAGGCATTTGTTTTTATACTAAAATATCTGAATTACTTTGAATAAAGCTGGAAATTATGTCCCTTAAAATAATTAAACAAATAAGGCACCAATGTTTTTGTAAGATATTTACATCTTTTAAGGACATTCGGTAGACTGATTCCCCACTGTTGGTTCAACCCCAAAACTTGTTTGTATTCAAAATTAATTATGACAATGCATATTTATATTGAAACAAACTATGATAAAGGGAATTATATTATATAACAAAGGGCAAGGTCACCAGAGTTCAACTATGTTATTGGTCAGGTAACGTACCTGGAAAGATGGAACAATTTTAGACTGTTTTAAAATTTGCATTTTAAAGTAGTATAATGTACTATTTCATGTCAAATAAACTGTCTTTTGATTCTTGCTGGCTCTAAATAGAATATTACGAGTTGCATGGTTCATATTATTTTATTCTGGGCCTTATACTATAATGAAATACATCATTTTGTTAAGTTTCTATTTGGCATATTTTTTTCAGGCCATTTGTGAAGAGGAGTTTATCTGAAACTCACCAACTTGTGAATGATGTGGTTCAACATGAAGTTGTGCATACTGATGTTGTACTGTTGCCTAGAAACTGCTGCCCTATTCTTCAATTCGGTGCCAAGTCTGGAAGTGAGATAATTATAACTGGCAGAGTAAAATCTCAGAGGTGAATGAAATGTTCCTACAACCACTTCTAGTTTGTGAATTTGTATCCAATGTGGTGTGATAGACTGATTGCACTTATTTGACCTCAGTGTTTACAACTGAATTTTTGTTATGTTTTAGTGACCTTCCAAAACTATGCTTTGCAACAACATTTGAGGAAGGACGTGGTGATTCTGTTGATTACTTTACTTGCAGAGATTGTGGATTTAATTGTGAGTTAATCTGAGATGTACATTCTGCCTACTATACTTAATTTAATATATACCAAATAAAATTCAGAAAATGAGAAAACACCTAAAATTCAATCTATTGTGTTCAGTGATGTTTTCAGTTAATTACTTGAAATGCTTACTAATAAATTTTGAATGTATATATTTGGTCTTGTTATCAAGTCAAGAATCGATTTCTATAGAATGTGTTGAGTCTGATTTTAGCAGAATGTATACATATACCAATTTTCTTGGATAACTAAGTTTTATATGTCAAGGCAGTTAAGTTAGCATTAACAGGAGTAAAACGTGTTAAAAGTTGAACTGTTATTCAGACCTCTAAAAGTTACTTCGCATTCTACTAAAACAACTTATATATAATCTGTTAGTTTAGATTCAGGGGGAATAAGTTAATGCATATGTCTAAGCAGAGTTTAGCATTCTACTAAAACAACTTATATATAATCTGTAAGTTTAGATATAGGGGGAATACGGTAATGCAAATGTCGAAGCAGAGTTTGGGTTATCTGATGGTGAGTATCTTGTGATTTTTGACTATTCTGGTTATAGAAAACACCATTTTTTAATACTTTAGGCAAGACGATTGCATCTTGCCTATTAAAGCGGGGGAGTCATCACCTGCGCATGCATCAGATGGCCATAGCGTGTCATTGTTTACAAACAAGTGTCTACCCATGAGCCTTTGCGTTCTTGCCGTGCGTTGTTATCGTCGCTTGGGACTCAATTCCCCTGCGTGCACATGTGACGACCCTCTCGATTTAAAGATAAATATTTTTAAGATTGACAATAACAACCAACAAGTCAAATTTAAATAATTTTTTTCTTATATTTTATAGGGGTCTGCAAACCGTGTAAAGAGTCATGTCATAAAGATCACATGACAGTACCCTATATTATGAACCATCATCCAACGTGGTATGTTCTAAATACATAACATCATCAAAAATTCTAAAATACTAGTACCATATTTACCCTATTAAAAGCAAATGCACTATTAGGCCCCAAAAAAACTCATGTTGCCCTCAAGTCGAAAAATTGAAAAATTGGGTTGCTCCGTCGGATTTTTATTTTTTAAACTCGTGAAAACTAAGGGTATCGTAAATAGCCGCGGTATATGGGAATCAAACAAATAATTATTAATTGGCTCCTGATAATCTTGTTTGTGCAAAAATGTAAAGTTAGACATCTTGATATTCAATTATGCATAACCATAACATATAAATGGAGTGTCAAAATGTGCCATGGCAATTCAAGATATGCAACAAATGCCACGAAAACTAAACTTTAGAAGGAACTATTTTGTCTCATTTGTATACTAGTGATATACCAATGGAAAATGACTGCAGATGTGTAATAATATACATAATTCGATCTGGAATTTACAGTCATATTTAATTGTTTTTTTATTTTAATATTTTCTGTCATAAATATGAACATTAACTATAATATTTTATTTTCTGTTCTTTTTTCATAGGGCATGTTGTTACTGTCCCAAGAAAAAAAAGGTAAAATATGCATACATTGATCAAAAGGATCAAAATGTCCCCAAGATCAAAAATTCATTCATTGTTTGAACTGACATGAAATATATTTTGAAATCATTCTCTCTTTTGCATCTTCAAAATTTAATTGCCAAATACAATACAATACTTGGTGATTGACAATTACTTGTTTTTCTGTTTCAGTGCGTCTTAAGCAGCTAATATTGGTTGACAACAGCCTTCAAAAGATAATAGTTGTCAGGAATTGTTATGTCTGTTATATGAAGGCATGCGATGTATACAATGCATGTAAGTTGTTTGTATACATGAAATTCGAACATGAAAGATGACCACCGTCCTAATAATAACAAGATAATTATAGTATTCAGAAACAACAATGGACTTTCAAATATATCGGTCATCAATATTTAGTTCTCAAATATTTCTGTATTTTTTACCATGCCTGTAAGGAAAGACACAAATGTTGGCATCGTCTTTTAAGAAGACTTTCTTAAAAACTTTTTTAGATTTGTGTGTGCAACAAGTAATTTCCCCGGTAATAGTGATTTCACATGAGTCAGACTCACTATATCTTGATGTAATTAATAATTACTATAAGAACATGTTCAATGTTTAATGTCCTTTGTTTTGTACCATGTACCATGTATGTGTATTGATTCCTTATAAATGGAACACATTTCCCTAATGATTGCATATTGTCTTGATTTTGTCATGCAAATAGTATATGTGAATTTGAATGAATTTGAATATGGTGCAGGTGGATCATAATATATGATATGGAATAATAAACATTGATGTAAACACTGTCCATTTAGATTGTAGATTGAATAATGAATGACAATTTGAATATTGTTCATGTGGATTACAAATATAAAATAATGTACATCAATTTGAATGAAGCGTGTTTGAATTCCAAATTTAGAATAATAGATTTGAATTTAGATATGTCATACGAATTCAAATAGTAGATAATAGTATGGTGCATGCAAATTCTAAATAGGGAAGTATAGACATCAATTTAAATATGGTGCATTTGAATTTCAAATATGGAATAATAAACAATGATTTGAATGTGCTGTATGAGGATCACAAATATTGAATACTGGTAATACACATAGATTTAAACACGGTGCATTTAGATTCCAAATAATAAATGTGGATTCCGAATATACATACATTAATGCACAGCAATTTGAATGTGATGCATTTGGAGTCCAAATTTAGAATAGTATACATGAGTTAGTATATTGAGCATGCGAATTGCAAATATGGTATAGACATCATTTTGAATATGCTGCATTTGTATTCTAAATATGGAATAATATACATCAATTCGAATATGGTGCATTTGTATTCTAAATATGGAATAATATACATCAATTCGAATATGGTGCATTTGTATTCTAAATATGGAATAATATACATCAATTCGCATATGCTGCATTTGAATTCTAAATATGGAATAATATACATCAATTCGAATAGGCTGCATTTGTATTCTAAATATAGAATAATATACATCAATTCAAATATGCTGCATTTGTATTCTAAATATGGAATAATATACATCAATTCGAATATGCTGCATCTGTATTCTAAATATGGAATAATATACGTCAATTCCAATATGCTGCATTTGTATTCTAAATATGGAATAATATACATCCAGTCGAATATGGTGCATTTGTATTCTAAATATAGAATAATATACATCAATTCGAATAGGGTGCATTTGTATTCTAAATATAGAATAATATACATCAATTCGAATAGGGTGCATTTGTATTCTAAATATAAAATAATATGCATCAATTTGAATATGGGGCCTATGCAACAAGAATAGTAAAACATGTTATTACAGTAGTATTATATTCCTATATATATATATATACTATTATATATAGTACTTGGCCAGCACATGGAGTATTCTGCCCTGATGGACAGGATAAAAAGTTCTCTCGTGCAATTGCATACATACCACCGCTGAGCAATATCAGACGTTATGTCTTTTTGTATGTGGTATGGTATCTACAGTGAAGTCAGATGTACTTTTCAAATGGCATCAGGATGTTTCATTTTTTTCCACCTATTGCTGGAGACCTTCAACCTTTGGATTAATTACGCGTTAATTTCTATAACTTCTATAACACAGATTCAATTTCATCTCTGCGAAGGCCAACCACCATGTCCTTTCCACTTGACATAACTTGTTCTCTACATCTTTCTACAATTATGTGTATATAAATTGAAATATTTTGGATGTCACTGACATAAATCCGGCCCATACATTTTGGCAGTCACATTGTAATGAATACTTCTGTCTGCTTATGTTCCTAACAATTATCCTAAGGTTGTGAGCAGAATTTATGGCAGGGGGGTGAGAAATTATTTTGTTTTACTTTTTTTTGCAGCCCCCCTAACATGCTACATAAAAACATGACCCCCTCTCAAATACCCAGTTTTTCAATATGTTTACATTTCATATAGAATACATTCATCATATCTGTGTCCTTATTAAATATTTAAATATGCTGGGATACACATGTATCCCTCGTGGGGCTTCTGTCCATGATGTTGGGAAAGCACAGAGAGTCTGTCAAAAAGTAAGCACATTCTCCCAAGATATCACAGCCTTGCAAGTGAAGTTAAAGAACATAAAGACCCAATTATATGACGGCAACCACAATTCCAAACCGTGGGCCAACAGCAAAATTTGTTATATTGAGAAGAGATTAGATACCCTTGGGAGATGGTTGGAAACGTGTCAAGTCGAGAAAATGACATAACCTACACTCTTCAACAACTGACATCTCGGTTCCATAACACTTGCGTTGCATCAACAGAACGAGTACGAACAAAACGTAGACAGAAAGAAGACAAAGAGAGGAATATCAGAAGAAAGGAAAAAAGAACCATCAAAGAGACAAAGATGTTAGTGGTTGATGCATACAGTTTTGATATGGGAGAAAAAGTTGTTAAATACAAGTACGGACATAAACCAGATACTGTTATTTAATAGTACTAATAAAATTGCCCAGGAAACACCTCAAGAGTCTAATTTACTTGCGAAACATCAATACATTTGAGGACCCTGATAATGCTGATAACCTGATTGCAATTTTACAAGCCCGTCAGGAAAATGAAACTTGCACTAACTTCAGATTCTGAGACTGACGAGTCTGAATGATAATGTTACAAACATCGTCTCCTGTAATACTATCATGAACAAGTAACCTGTAGAATGCTGTGTGGGTAATATTTTTTTTTATATTGATTTTTGTTGCATTTGCAGCAAATAGTTACCAAACAATGAGAAATCTATAGGATTGGATATACCTCTCAGCTGGCTTCACATGCATAGTTCAAGACTGCCTAACCGGTGCTTATACCAGGATTTAGTTGCAGCACTGTGGTCTGTGGTTACAGCTTCATTTTCCGAGTAATCACAAGAAATTGACATGACAATAGAAATTCATGAAAGATTGG